AAAATATTGTTAAAAGTCCCAGTGATACATATGGGTTTTGCCAAGGTGTCTGTCAGTTTTTTTTAATCTTTCTATGAGTTGTGTGCACGTTTTTGTAAAGAATATTTTCAACCTTATTTAAATTTTTTGTATTATCTTCTCAAAATTTTTTTCCTTCATGATTTGAAGATTATATTTTAAATCTTTTTAAAGGCCTATAATTTCTATATTTTTGTTCTGTTATCTTGCATTATGTGACTATTTAGCTATGGTAATTGGCTAACTAATTAACCATAGAAATTAAAACCAGAAATACTGAGGGCAGAAAGAAGTTATCCTGAAAGATATACCATTCGATGTTAAAAAGATTTTATTTTATTTACGAAAAACCGGAGAAAAAGCCATATGTGAGATTTTGTCAGATTGATTAATATTGTTGTAAGAAATGCCTTGCTGAGGGAAATATGAGAATTCAGAAAGAAAAGCAAAGCATTAAGATATTGGGCAGACCACATGGCGGTCATAAAAATTTTGCCTTGGGATGATTGCCAATACAGGGTAAGGAGAATCAATATTAATTATCTTTCCAAGATATCATTTTTTTTTTTTATTGAGTGCTGGCAAGGCAAAAGCCATATGATATTTGTGGGAATTTTGGCATGAGGGAAAAATTTATCCAGATATGGGTGGAGAGGGTTGTTATTATTTACTTTACCAAAGTGTCACTTTCAGACACCGAGACGCTGAGTAGCGATATGGTGATTATAAAATTTTGGGCATGAGAAAAGATAGCATGGAAGAATTGTGATTTGGTGAGATAAGGAATTTAATTTCTCAAGAAGGCAAGGGTTCCAGTAAAAGCTAATTTTATGAAGGGACCAAATGGCAAACTTTGACAGTGATTGATGGAATTGGTAAATAGTACTGGCTAAGTGGATTCTGAGTGACCAAAAAATCTGATAGATTTTAAGTGGCAACGTGGAATTCATAAAAATTTTGGCCGATGGGTAAAAGGAGAATTTTGTAAACAAATGGGTTATAATTTTAAGGAGGCCAGCTTAGCCACACCCACACAGCTGGGAAGCCATTGGTCGAGTGGTAGCAATGGTGATAGGCGGAGGTGAATGGATGAGAAGGACGGAGAAGTTTTTAATGCCCACTCAAGGGATTGGTACGAGATATCAATGTGAGAGAGGGAGAGTTTAAGAGGATAGCTCTCCTCTGACCTCCCCTCACGGACGAGGGAGACCCCCCAAAATGGAAAGTGATTAATTTTCCAAAAATGGAAAGTAATCAATTTTCCTGGCCTGACAAAGATTTTTTGTTGGGAATTGAGATTTACTGAGAACCCCAGGCCACATCTGGCCCTGCACCGGGTTTTGGTTGGTACCCATATAAACGAATGTCCTCAGGCCATTCGACAGTACAGTCAGTTAGTTAGTTAGTTCAGGTAGCGGGAACCAGAGTGTTGCCCCGCAGAAGCTGACCGAGAGATTCCACAACCTCCGACTTCGCCTATCCTACCAATAGCAAGTTATACTGACAAACGAAGCCAAGCCAGCACCTAAGAACTAAACCAGTTGACTTAAGATACCAAAACTTGCTTAAGAAATGTAGAAATGTCACAATCCATAGAAAATGGGCTGGGAGGAAAACACACTCCTGTATATAACTGACGGATAAAGTTAATTTGTTATTTCTTAACATACTTGAAATTCTTGGGTTTTTCTTTTATTTGCTTCTTTTTCTTTACGCTTGTGTGATATCACCTTCAGTCTGGACTCAACTTACACTATGGCGCAATGCCTGATTGATCTCGTCTACCTAAGATCAAAAGCACAACGTGGGTAGGTTAGACTTGAGATCAAAGCAGTTACTTCGATAACCAGAGGTTGAAAATCAGCTGGGAATGACGGAGCTGGTATCGAACTGGGTACGACCATCGATCGACCAACACACAGGATGGTGGTCGCAACTAAGAGTCAACCCCAAAACACCAGTGGAAGAAACATTACAGCTTCGCGCCATAACTGGGAGTTGACCACAAGCCAACAGCGCAGTGTCACAATTATTCTTAATAAAGTGCATGAAAGAAAATTTTTGTGCAAGCTTTTTTTGTAAAAATTGTATTTTGTTTCATGCCATTGTAATAAATGTCTGCTTCTTTCAAATCTCACAGATTTTCTCTTCACCTATTCACTCCTAGGGAAAAAAATCTTTTTAGATCTATTTTGTTTGAAATGAGACATGACTAATTTACACGTGGAGCAAATGGACTTGTATGTATAATCCTTCTGTAGGAGGCAATCTATTATCTGACCTGGAATCTTGCACTTCAAAACTGTTTACAAAAAGACTCATTTGTGGTAGATTTATAGGAAAAATATTTTTTTTTGAAAATTGGATTATCTGAACTTAGTCAAATGGAAAACTGGCTTTGTGCTTTCTGAAAAGAAAATATTTAGAGTGCTTAAATTAATGGTATAATCTCTATATATTAAGAGTCCTGTTTATTTGTATGTGTATGATAGGGAGAAATATCCAAAAACAATATCTAACACAAAGCAAGAACCCTACTAGCACACAAGGAAAGAGATAGAGTCTATATAAGTGACCAGAAGGAGTATGGGGAAGTCAAGAGAAGAGTGGCTCAACCAAGATCCTACATTGTTACAACAAAGACTGGATCAACCATAAGATGGAACAGATACTCTGCCTTATACACACAGAAGAAAGAACAGAAGACCAAGTGTCACAGCTTTCATCTCACATGAACCAGTCTCTCTGCTACAACTACATCCCAACCTCAACAAGTCCAAAAACTGCTTCTCTAAATGATGGTCATCAAAAGACACATTCACAGTGACTGGTAAAGCCCAACAAAAACCTGAGATTGTTTATTATTAGTTGGTAACCACCCCACAATAATAAATAAATAAATAATTAAAAGTTATACAAACTTGGGGAAGGGTGTTGTATATCATGTTGTAAAAACAATGCTGATTGGTTGATATACAGCCAATACACTATTTGTAAAGACAATGTTCATTGGCTGATGTACAGTCAATACATTATTTGTATATACTTGAAATAAAACAGTTGCTACTGTTGCTTGAACTGGGCATCCATGTTCCCTTTTTCTGAGCTGTAATATCACACAAATGACACTGGTTGTTCTGTTTTTAGAATTGTCAAGGAACTGAAGGTAAGAGCTAGCTTTTTACCACCATAGTCAATGGTAATGCATTCATGTAATTCCTGAAAGTCTGCATATGATATTGATACACAGATTTTCTAATAGAGTTAATTTTTCCCTTCGTTACTTATCTTTTTGTAATGTCAATGAAGCAAAACAATATTCTATTAATTCCATACTAAGAAACGTCAATGCCTATGGCATCATTTGATGCGATGACTTTAAGCTTCAATATTTTTCCAAGTTTTGCACTCATAAAACTTATCTGTACTACTAGTATCATTCAAGTCATTGGCTGTATAAATATCATTCACAGTAGACTTTCTGACAAAAGGCAAATCACTGCTCATAGACAGAGTACTATTGTGTTATTACCAGTACCTGGAACTGTAGCCAATATTGAAGACTTACAAAATTTTCAAAAGGCCTTTCTCCTTGCATTTATGACACAACATCTTTGGCTAGACACTGACCTCTTGGCTATCAATTATTTCCACAAAACCAGCAGATAATATCCTCTACCAAGCATACCAAGAAATATGACTAACGATAAACCTTTCCAAAACAGAAACTATGATCTGGAATGTGAAAAATGGATGACACCTACCCTGAATCCATTATAAAAATTCAGGATGTGGAATTAGTAAAATATCTTGAATACCTTGGTGTATAAAAAATGTAGTATAGGAAATTAAACAAAGTATAAGCTACACTAGAGGTAATTATGCCCAAGACTTCAAATTGCTACAAAACCAAAAGTTCTTAAATAGCCTAATCAGATCAAGACATTCATATGGATGTCATGCATGACACCAAAATCATTCAGAAATATCTAAACTGTCAGCTGTATACAACTGCTTTCAAATATCAAAATATCAATGGTTTGAAATAGCTTTGAACAAATTAAACCTGTAAGTCTTAGTGAGAACCATCCGTCTGAACTTGTGGACTGCTTCTAGAGAACCACTAAATAAAACATCACTTGAGAGCTTCCAACAATAGCAACAAGTAAAACAGCATATATAATTCAAAGATAAAATAATAATATAATCAACATGGTGACATGCCACACAACTTCAAACAAAAAGTGATGAAAGAAGCCCCATCATTACTAGAAAGAGCAATAAAAGTTACTGGTTTGAGAAACCTATTTTCCTGAAAAATTATTTTAAGAGAAAGATTTTATAAATTTCAAGTGAAAGTACCACTGGCAGCCTACATCATTGTAGGGAAGTGGCTAAACATTAGCATTATCATTACAGCAAGGAAACATCAGCATTTTACTTCATTGAACTAAAGGAGTATCATTGTGTTTTGTGAACACATATTGAGGATACTATGCTATACATAAAATTTATAAGTGTGTAGGCAACGAATGAAAGATGAGGAGTATTGACTACATACTTTGCTGTAATTCTCCTGAGTTACATGCCCTTATTAAATAGATATAAATTTTTACCATATTTGAATGGAGTTGTTCTTTATTCAACATTGGGAATCCATCAATTTTAGTTTTCTGCGATAAGTTTTGCAATGTTTCAACACCAAGCTTGTTTAAATTACAATGTGGGGAGAAATGTCTCCTTTCCAGGAGATCACCAAACCAGTCACCAAGATAATAAACTGTAGTGTTACAATATGCTGTTAATTAATAACTTACCAGAAGAATATTTGAAATTATCTTTAAGAACTTCTGCGAGCATTATTCTGGATATTCATATCTTTATTTTTATAAAGACTAGCAATTTAAAAATCATTTGTTCAATTATGAAATTCATCTCTTAAGTTCTATTCAATTAAGAAAGTTAATCAAAGACAGACTTACTGTAAAATTGTTTATATTTCTCTGCAACATTTTGCAGACTCTATTTAGTGTAGCATAATAACCAGGTGAATCTTGCTTCATGTAGTAGGACAGGTAGGTCATACCAGAAAGTTCATCCAAGTGATGGCTGGCCATATCCTCTGGTCGCACAACTAAAGGAATATCAAATTTGTCTTTGGCAATATTCATAGCATTTCTACAGTTTTCTAATCTGAAAATGAATCATGTTAAAACAGAATGTTAATAAAATGATAATCATTAAAAGGATAATTTTTCTTATATCAAAACTTTATCTTAAAAAAGAAGATTTTGTGTTTTCTATGAGAGATAAACATGAGAGATAAAGCAAAGATATGATATTTTTAAAGAATGTTTTAGTTAGCAGCTTACTATAGTGTCACTACATATAAATTCATTTACATATATAGATACACAAATACTTCTTTCAGTGCATGTTTATTACAAGGCAATCATTCACAGATTATCTCAGATAACAAAGCACAAATATCTACTTAGCAATCAAGAAAAAGTTTTAGATTTAATAAATTAAGTTTTTGGCTCAGTAGTTGATATTGCATTTTTTCATTGGAAAAATGGCATTTCTCTTAAACATAAATTATAACAACTAACAAAAGTTATTTATTCTATCATACTCAGACAATCCTTAGACACATTTTTAAACTTTTAGAAAACAGTAGAGATGTTCTTTGAATTGTGAAACAAGTTTCCAATTCAACATAATTTCTATTGTTATTTATTATATTCTCTCAATATACATGAAAATCAGGAATTCCTTTCTATTGAATGGTGATCAGTTTCAAACTTAAAAAAAAAGGTTTGCAGGGCTGTTTTGATATTACCATTTTGGAAACCCTAATTATTCAGATGGTGGAAAAAAAGATAATGAGAAGTGACAATTAGATTTGGTGCAGTAAAATTTCCTTTGTAAAATTTTTTACATGGTCACCACTTTTGATTACTTATGGTTGTTAGCAATTAGCTATATATATATATATATATATATATATATATATATATATATATATATATATTCATTCTGCAGAAAAAGAAAAATTGTATATATGTCCAAATTTCACTTGTTGCCCATCAATGAATGTAGCATCCATTTTCCCATTTGACTGATTATAAACAAAATGACTTAGGAGAATAGTTAAGTAGTTGATTTTTGATTGGAAAATTGGATTAATTGAATTGAAAAGTTTCTTTATGTTCTTAAAATTTTCTCTAAAGTTCAAAAACTTTTTTATGTAATATTTTTTATCACAGGTTACATACGTTTTGGCAAAAGTATATTTTGCAGGAATAATGAATAATAATGGAATTTTTGGAATAGACACTTGTATGCAATATATTACTTACTTTTTAGTTTTATCAAGTTTCTCCCAATCTGGGCAGGTGCCAGGACTGCAGTACTCAATGAGGGCACTGAAAATAGAAACATACAATTTCATAAATGAAAGCAAGAAACAATCTTTATAGGATAAAAGGAAAAGAATATAAATTTTGTTTTAGATTTGAATTTTTCCTGGATTACTAGAAAATTAAAAAACAGCTCTTATCCTGAAATGTTTGTTATTGAGGATTTAATAGCCATTAAAATATAATTATTTTCTTACATTAAAAATATTCAAAGAAGCAACTCTTTTGGAAGTTAATCTTTTTGGCTTAAAAATAGGCATTACATTTTCTTTCTACTGAAACTTGGTTTTTACTTTTGTACAGGTACCAAGATCTTCAGAGAACACTTCTAAAAAAGTTTTTTCAGTTCACTTTTTAATTTTTCATTTGCTGTATTAGAACTGGCAGCAATATTTATGTTATTACAAAACCAATTAATAGGTATGTCCCACAGATCAAACAATGTTGTCCAGTCTGTACCAAACAGATTAGGTGTGCTTTTCAACACAAATACTACCATTATTCTGGTCTTCCCAATGAACGAAACATTACAACTGAATTTGCCTAAAATGTTTAATCTTTTCCCTAAGACTCCATAAGTGATTTTCTCAGTTTACCCATTCTCTTCCAAGTCTGTTTGTTAATAATAATAATATCCAATCCTGTGTCTAATTTCAACTGACTTTTCACACCATTTATTTGCATAAAAACACATTTCCTCTTTTGCAAAGTGTAATTAATTTGCTTTTTGAGTTTCTTATTATTACTGCATGTATTCATTCTGTTCACCTGCATTTCATTTCTTCTCCATTTTTTGGATCTGCAACATGCACTCTTGCATCCTAATTTCCCACCTCAAAGCATTTCTTGTTTCTGAAGAAACAATCCTTTTTAAAATGTTTACCACAACAACTGTGGCAAATATTAGGTATTGAGTGGGGTTTATAATCATCCCTTATAGTTATATCAATAGTTGGAAAACATTTGCAATTTTTCCTCTTAGCTGGTCGGACAGTGTGAACCTGTGAATTTTCTTTTTTTTCAATCCTCGTGCTATCAAGCTTTATATTCACAATATGCTGACACTCTTCAGCTATTCTCTGGAGAGTTAATTTGGGATCCATTTTCAGTTTAGAAAGTATTCTAGATCTGATCCCTGCGTCCTTGTCCAAAATTAAACCCTGAACAAATATCAGGCATTTGAACAGATCAGGAGTTAGTTCATTCAATTTAAACTTTTTGCATTCCTAATTTACAAGTCCTGTGTATGTGACAAAATCTTCTTTGTCGGATTCCACTAAATTGAGACATTTCCAACGTATATTAAACAGCAAACTCCTGTCTCCAAATATTTTCAATTGTTGTTAGGACAGGAAGTTATTTCTCCCAGCTTCTTCAGCAAAATATAGTTTACATATTTTCCGTATTCAGCAGGGGATAATTTCCTCAACAATAATCAAACTTTTTCTCATCACTCTAATGTACACAATCCCTTTGAAAGATTCCTTCATATCTTCTATAGTAGGATGAGAAATTTATTCCTTCATCTGGATTGTGCAGAAACTCGGTGATTGAATTAGCAACAGCATCAGGAGTAAACGAATTTGAAGTTTTTGTTTCCATCATTTTAGTGAACAATGCAAAAAACTTTTCTTGCTGTAATTGTAATTGCTGTTCATGGTGTGGTTTCTGTTGCTGTAATTGTAGTTCCTGCTGTAGCTTCTGTTGTTGCAATATTTGAGCCATATGGGCCTTTAATTCTTCCATTTTTCTGCTGAACTCTGCTGAACTTTTTGCAGATTCATTTTTTTTCCATCTGTGTAAGTTCAAGGAATCTTCACAAATCCTTGTGAATCCTCGTCACCACTTTTGTGATTCCTTACAAATCCTCATTGACACTTTTATGATGTTGGATGGCTTTGCTTGTTACTTTTGTTATGTCAAGTGAAAGCTCATTATCACTTCCAATAATATCCGCACTAGTAATACTTGTTCAAGTAGTAATCGCCAAATAGTATAATGATCAGAAGAGAATTGTAATCCATATAGTAGTAGAGTAGAGAGAGTGAATGTATAGCAAGAGTGGATAGACAAGAAGAGTGCACAGTAATCTGTATAGTGATAGAGGAGAAATAGTGATCAGTTACTCAATACACTACTTTGTATTTATTCACTTCCTTCAAAAAATGCATATCCATTCTTCAGAAGGAATTTTTCATGAAATTTATTGTTAGTTGGATATAAATGTCACCCACTATATGAAGGCTGGAACAATTTGTTGTATAGAAAACAGACTTGAGGATGGTACATCCCAAAAAGTAACAAGCTATGCTAATGTCCAAATCAGTCTCATGAATACTATTGAACATATTTGGACCATTTTAAATTGTGAAATAAAGAAAATGTCTAGAAATATTTCTACAAAAGCATTTGCCTCATGTTCAGAATGCTGCCTAAGTTATCTCCTATGATTTATCTGATCAGCAAATTTAATAAATTCACAGAGCAGATTTGATGAATTTGATGTATGAAATAGTAAAATCTTTTAAAATCTGCTCCTAGTTAGTGTACCAAATATTAATTTATGTAATATTTTTAATTATTGAATAAAAGTCCATGTATAAAAAAAGCAGGTGTCATTTACTTTTCTCATGTGACTGTATAAATTGATTCAAGTGAAAAAAATTCTGCAGAATTCAGAAGATGAGAATACTTACTGAAGAGCAACACCATCATTCCAGCTGCTGCTAAAATTGCTTATTTCACATTTTGGAAGTGCACTCTGTAGCCAGGCCAGCATAATCTTTTTAGGTGGGAATTTTGTCTTTCCAATTTGATAGCGTAGAATAAGATGCCATATCAAACCAAGGATTAGTTTTAAGTTACCATCCACTATGTCTTCACTTCCTATCAAAATATCACCACAAAAGTTTAATCAGTTAAATTGATAAAAATAATATTTTAAATGTAATAATAATCTTTTTATATCTAAGAATATTTACTATGATATGTATGGCTAACATTTTCAATATTGTTTCTTCTCACAATGTACCCATGAGAGTCAGTAAGATGTGAAAGTATTTCCTCATAATAAAAATAAAATTTAGCAAGAAAATGATTTGATTTTTTTCTTTTTATTGTTTTCTCAAACATTTATTTTGAAAGATTTACAAGAGTTAAATGTTATTTACACTATTTGGTAAACATTTCAATTAAATTTTGTGTTGTTCTTATAAAATAAAATATGCTCTAATAGTTTTTATAGCAAATAAACTCACCAATCTCTTTTTAGATATTATTGGAGTAAATATATCTTGATTTCCTTCCTTTGTAGATCAAGAAAATATAAAATATGAACTTGTAAAAACTGTGTAATATGAGGAGGTGCTGAAAAATTCTGATATTTGTTAAGATTTTACAAAGTGGGCAGGGCAGAGAACTTTGCAGCATGTCAACTGAGATGTTTTATTATCAATGATTATGTTATTGGGTCAAGTGATTATATTTTACTAAGTTATTGTTTTGTAGGAATTTTAAAATATTTCTGCTAAAATTTTAATTTTAAATATTGTTTTATAGTTTATGAAAATTTACTATCAAAAATCTTTATCAAAACCTTTTATTGGTATGAGAACATTTAAAATGTAACTTAAATGAAAATCATTGTAAGATAAAATGATTTTTTGTGGTAGTCTCACTGATTACGACAGGCTATAACTGTTACTCCAAACAGGCGTACCTTTTTTGCTACACATTACAATTTAGCACATTTGAAAAAAATATTTACATTTTTATACCAAGCTTTTATACCAAAGTTAAATTTAATTATATAAAAATAACTGCTAAATTCCATTGCTGAAAACCTTTAAAATATATATAGTAAGATTTAGTAAAAATGAAACAGATTCAAATTATAACAAACATATTATATCATATTCCATTAATCAGTTTCAGACAAAATAAAAATGGAAATTGTTAAGATATGACATCCCTATTGAGTGCATACTAACTTAAAATCTAATTAAGTTACACAGTATTTAAAACATAGATCAAATTATTAATCTAAAGATTTCTGCTTTTAAGTTATTAAAAATGTCATGATCTTCATGTAACATACTTTACAACTGAGCCAAGAATATTTCTGTTAAATATTCATACATATTTTTTGATATTATGATGACCATTCATCAATTATGAATAATAGGACAATGTTTCTAGTAATCAGTCAGTTCAAGTGAAAGTGCATGATAGTTTGAGTATCAGTCATAGAAATCTTCCTTTTCTTATCGTTAGAAGAACCTGAACTAAAAAAAGGAAAAAGAATTTTTGTAAAACATTTCAACAATTCCTAGAATATAGAAATTCTGGATTTAAACTGCTTTCTTTTTTTTCCTTTGTCATTGTGAATGAGTTGAATATTTCGATTTTTTTAAGGTCAAATTTTGACCTCCTCCAACCTTCCATACCATAAATGTATGTAGCATAAACTAAAAATGTTCTCTTATTCATGTATATCAATGAAGAGGCATTGACATATTTGTTGTTGTTAATAATGCATATGTTTTAATTAAGTAAACACAAAATTGAAAGAGAGGTGATGAAAAACAATTCTTTGATTTTCTTTACATTTATGATAAAATTAAACAAAATTTTGGAAAAATGTATTCGTAAAATAAAAATTTTCTGTTTGATAGTGTTATTAAATAAAATAAGACATATCTCGGCTGATTTATAGGCAAATAAACTAACATTACTCAAGAGCGGGAGCCGGATGTGAACGGGACAAGGCCCCGTCACAAAATGACCATTATCTTTGTTTACACAGGTTCCCGATGCACGAGTTCCGGTCGAAAAATAAAATAATATTTTAAAGTGTTTCTATTTTTCAACCAATAAAAATGCTTCCCTCCTAACTATACTTGCGTCGTTTTTGGAGCCTGTTAAACCATAAAAAAACGTCATAAAAGGGGTCACACGGAAGAACATCAAGCAGTTAACAGGAGGCCAGGGAAGAGACCTGTCACGGTCAGGTTGAACGGTCAGCAGCAGCAGTAGCGACACGCCAACCAGCAAGAACTACTATGAGAGATCAACTCAGATCTTCAGCCGGCCTATAAACTATACCATAAGGTAGCTGTCCCAAAACCACACGTTCCTATTGAAATAAATCATGTAAATCTATTTCCGCTGTTGTCGTATTTCTTTCTTGCAACCATACGCGTCAGAAGCGTACAGCAAGATAAATATGGCTGACTACACGAGCTTCACCCGAGTCGAACTATTTACTCTCATCAAGGAACAGAAAACACTACTATTCAACTTGAACACGGGACCAACACAGCCTTCTGAAGCCACGATACAAGAAATTCAAGCCGACATAAATGACAAGCTGACTGCCCTAAAATTAACTACTTTAACACCTCCCACCGCTCAAACAAACGGCGATTACAGCTTAATGATGCGCCAACAAACTATACGCGACATGTTGAAGCTAGAGAAGACTTTTCACCCTGGACACGACGCGAACCGATTCATCACGGCCCTAAACAAAGCATACACAATCCACGTCACGCCAGAACTCAGCACCAGCCTGGAATGCGAATTCGTGAAGTCTGCTAAAGATTTACTGGACTAAAGTATCTTTCAGCAGATGGTTGACTCAAAAAAAGACATATCCACCTTCGAATGACTGAAGGAATACTTATTAGCAACCCACGGAAGCCAGATGACTAACTTCCAACACCTCAGTCAAGCCTGGGATCTGGATTAATAGACTTCACGGGTCGACTCGAAAACAACCTTAGAGAGGCAGCCGTCCACATAAAAAACAAATACAAAAAAGACAAAAATACAGACTTAACAGTTGATGGACTTATTTCCATCAGTGCTATGCTAATGAGTGAAAAGGTGAAAATTTGGAACTCAAATCTTTACCCACATCTTGTCAAAACAATGGACAACCACTATTCAGCCATTGGCATAACCTCCGAAGCTCAAAGATACCTTGATCACGGTGTAAATCCAACAACAGGACTTCGCACGACACTGTGTATTTCACAGCGGTCAAACCAAAGAAACGCGCCACTTCGACCCAGCAGGCAACCAAACCCACAGCAGACGGGCCTCACCAACCTTCCCGAACATGGCCACCATCCGACACGCAGAAACCATCAGCATACACCACGAATCAGTGTGTGAAAGAACTACTTCAGAGGTCGCCCCTGCCTCCACGGACGCAACTGCCTATATCGCCACCCACCTCGCACTCGGGCACAGGCCCATATCACCGCAACGAATGATAATATACAAGCCATAAATGATGTGAAACAGGATTTTCACTTCGGGCAGGACGAGATGTGATGCCTTGTTCGCCGTGCCCCTACGTCAGCCATCACACCTTCAACTTTCAAGGACTCGCTCACCATTCACCGCTCGTCCAGTCCACCTTCAACATCACCTTCTCTGGCGTCGCAATGCTAGACTCTGGATGTTCCACCTGCATCTTACCAATATCTCAGTTACCCAGAGAAGCCAAGAAACACATGACCCGCTCCGACGTCGTAGTAAAAGGAATCAACGGCAGCACCACCGCCCTTGGCGAACTGACTTGCGACATCACCATCGGCAGTCGAGACTCACCCACATTCAAAAAGGTTAACGTGCTGGTAACTATCCAAACCACACCGATCCTGATCGGCCAAAATATCCTACGTCACAACACGCTCGATTTCTATCTAATCAACAACCAAAATGTGACTATAGAATTCAGAGGCACACTTTCCTCAGGATACACAACACACACAGCTACAATCATATCACCGTCATCGTCAACCAACAATGGCCCAAGCTGACGTCATCCAAAACCAGCCTACTATGGAATTACAGCCCAGCATCCAGACACTGGATCAAAAGCTAACCTGGCTAAAGCATAACACGGGGCTATCGCTACCAAACCACCTGAACTGAGACGAACTAGAGGCCACTGCAAACTTACTCATTCGCTACGCTGACATTATCGGCACCGAAAGCAGCAGCAAAGGCACATTCATCCAACCCATCCGCATACCAACTAACGGCCAGTCTCGCAGCCAGAAACAACACCCGATCACCCAGGCTTTGGAAGCAGACGTTGATACCGAAATTAAGCGCATGGCCGATGAAGGTATCATTGAAAACTGCAGCGACCCCAAAGGCTTCAATAGCCCTGTATTTGCCGTACGCAAGAAAAACGGATCGATTCGCGTCGTCGCTAACTTTAAAAAAACTCTCAACAAGGTCTTAATCGATCTTGACCCTTACCCAATGCCAAGGATCGACCACTTGTTCAACAAAATCGGCAAAGGCAATAGATATTTCACTACCCTCGATCTACGCAGCAGCTACTGGCAAATTGAGATCGACAAGCGAGGCCGATACAAAACAGCATTTACATGGAAGGACTCGAACAATTTTTCACTGCCCTCCGAAAATTCGGACTCAAGCTGAATCCCGATAAATGTTCCTTCCTCGCATCAGAGGCAAAATTCCTCGGACGCATAGTAAACAGCGAAGGATTCAAGGCTGATCCAGAATACGTTCGTGCCATCAGGGAAATGAAACCTCCAACATCAAAAAAGGAATTACAAAGCCTTATCAGCCGTTTAGTGTGGATCAGACAATTCCTAGAGACACGTCTTCACGAACAAATCAGGTCAGATATGTTTTCAAAACTCATAGGTCCCATACATGAACTCAACAAGGTTAATAAACCGTTTATCTGGACGCAAAACAACCGTCGTATTTCTTTCTTGCAACTATACA